AAGAAAAGCAAATGTTAGAGTGAAGTTGTACCATCAGGGCAACACCATTATTCTTCACAGTTATCTACGTTGACAACTTTTCCCCAAATATCCTAGAATCATCTGCCTTTGTTTCTATTAGGTAAGGCTGATTTACAACAAAGCCTTTCAAGAGCAGAAATACCTATTGTAGTTAGGAGGTAGAAGAGAGAAGCAAAGTAGAAATAGGAGCAGAGGGTCCATCCACTGCCATGAGCAACTGGAGAGCCTCTCTGAAACCCTACTGAGCAGCACCCACCAAAAGCTGCAAGCTTTCAGGAGGCCAGGGATGAGAGCTACTGCGGTGGTGTGAGGACTCTGCAATTCCCGAGCTTTGCTCACATCTCCAGAAAAGTCACCATGACACCAGTGTGTCACCCTGGGATTCTGTATGGCTTAGGCACAACTGTGGACGGCCACAGCTAGAGCATTCAACATTAGTGAGTGTGACATCTACCCTGAAAGGTAAGTGACACGTATTGGCAAATATGAGAGACTCCCCAGCATATGTAATTTGCTAATCTGATTTTTATAATTCTTCCACTATCCGACTTGCATAGCAAATGCTATACATCTGAAAAATATGGAAGGGGACAGCCTATGTTCTGTACAAAGCATTTCCATCTGTAACTCCATTGACATTTTTTTTCTTGTATATCCAATTGATTTTTCAGTTTCAGAAGTAAAAAGCACAGACTATTTTCTTTGAACCTCTCTAACGCATTGTCTCTTGTTGTTTTTCCTGGCTTTTATGATCGACAATGCAATGTGATTAGCCAAAGTTCTTGGGGGCAACTGAAACGTGGATAATAAAAATCAGGAATGCAAACTCTGCTTCAGTTCTTCCAAACAACCCACAGAACCAGCACTTTTGTCTGTGGAGCACTAAATGTCTTCTCAAAAGCCAAGCTCTGTGGTAAGACTAAATTACTCGAAACAAACTAATATCCTTAACAGTTGCTTGTGAGATTGCTGTTTGCACTAGGAAGACTGTGACATTCCAAGCTAGGCAGCTTTCAGATTAACTTTAGTTTCATTCTCTATGTATCATAGGGTAACACACTGGTAATCTAAATATTGAGCAATCTTTTCAAGAGAAGTTTTAAAAGTAGAGATTAAAGTGCATTTTTTCCTAAAGGGTTACTAAAACTGAGGAAGGAATGAAACTCAGCTGCTATGCAACAGAAGCCTTTTTGCTTTGCTTGCATGATGCTTAGCTGAAGATGTTAGATTCAGAAAGAGAGCTGGCACATGTATAAAAAACATTATGTCTCAGGAAAAGGTAAGGCCTTTCCCAAATTTCTTATCAGCTTTTTTTTTTTTTTTAATAGGCTATATGGGACAATCATGTTTACTTAACTTCTCCTGTTATTTTTCTGCAAGAATAAAAATGCCACAGTATAACTGGTTCCTCCACTCTTTGGGTTAGAACTTGTGACATCGTGAGAATTAGATCAACTCAGATCAATTAATCTTCTCAAAGCAACTATCAGCACAAGTTTTCTAGTTAAAGGAAGTCAAAAGCAGGGTCACACTTACACTTCTATCTGTTTTGATGAATTTCAAACATTACTGGGTTGTCTGCAGCGCAGACTACCACTAACACTAAGGATATATTACATAGAATAAAATCAATAGCTGCTGCCAAGGGTACCATATACACAGTTCAAGAGTTGTAACTGAGAGTAGATTATGCTGGTCCCATGATCCAACCCACACACATTACTCCAAGCTGTCCCAAGAAACTGTCCTCGTTTTGGAACTTGTTCGGATTGGAGGGTTTGGTGCACAACTGTGATGAAGCAGTGGCTCAGTCTAAATAGTTGGACAGCCTAAATCAAACCAATGTGCAGTAAGTGGGCAGTCTGGAGAGTCACTCCAAAGGTACAATAATGCTCCAAACCTAAACACTTAAGCAGAATCAGTCTGAACTGTAAAAAGATATTTGTAAACTGTATAAAACGCATCACAAAACCTGAAGGACATCAGCATAGCACTAGGAAAAGGTTCTTATTTTGCCTGAGAAAGAAGTAATGCTTTCTGGATGCAGAGTGACAAAGAACAGCTTGCTCTATTAACACATAAATGATGGCTACTGAATAAAAAGACACTTGTACAATATATGCAGCTTAAGCAAAGCCATTCTATTTCAAGAGGAATAATAAGATTTCTTAGTAAGATATCACTATTTGTGACTGCTATTGCAAAGAGACCGTATTTCACTTTCATAATACCTGCAAATATAGCTTGTAAGAGACTTAGATTTTTATTTAAGATAAACAAGAATCTCTGGAATCAGAGTTCCAGCGATTCCAAACTCTCTGGAATCATTTTATATGGCAGAGAACAAGCAGATTTCCATTTTCAGACAGATTCTCGATGAAAGCGATACGCGTTTTGTTTGTGGAAAGAACTCATGATCTACTCAAAAAAGCTTTTGAGAAAAGCATAACATTTTAGATTTAGAATATATTAAAAAGCACAAATGGTGTATGTACACAGTATATGTATACTTAACTGTGTAATCCATTACATAATAATCAGTCCTAATCTAATTATACTGATCATGTGAAATTGCTGGTGAGACTGAAATACGACATTGTAGCAATAAAATAGATAAGCTTTACGCTATTTTTACAGTAGCATAAACATGGAGAGAAATACTATGAACAAAACATCACAAATTCCTTTAGATATCTTCCTGCACGCTACAAATTGACCACAGAAGCGTGGTCGAGATGCCCCTTCCAACTGCGTGAGACCAATGCTCGGACCAGTCCATGCCTTTTCTTTGGTGACAGCACCCACAGCCTCTGTGGGCACTGCACCCGCCTTCCTGGCTTCAGCTGGGCAGTGGAAGATCCTCTGATCTCCTGAATGCCTGGCAGACTCTTCCACATGCATTCTCCTTAAGGGCCATGTCTTAATTTGTAATTAAGAATGAAGTCATGGGGAACAGCTCCCAGTTTTGAGAATGCCTAACTAAGATCAGTTACTGGCTGCAAAAATCAGACCAAAAACACCTTCATTTTATGTGTGACCTAAAGGAGGTGCATACTGAGGAGGAAAAAAACACTTCAGAAGCGGTGAGAATTGTTATAACAGCAGTCAGCCTGAACTCGATGCATTTCTGGAATTTAGATTTAGACTTGGCTATGACTAGATGCATTTTTTAACTTTTGACTGGAATATGACAATACTATAAAGCAGTGAAAGCATTAATCTTGGAATTTTTGTCTGATTTCTAAAACAGCAGTATTGCAACCCCAGGGCGAACTACTCTTTTGTTACGTTCTTTGTCTCTCTGGCTGCTATTTTACGTGCACCAGCTCTCACATCTTTCTGCCTCCATTTGCGCAAGTGCCAGCATCTGAGGAACTCTGATAATTCAAGTACTGATTCTGCTTTTTGCACTGAAACAACCAGACGGTGCCTATTTGTTTTAACCACAGATCTTCACTTCTGATAAAACTTTCATTGGCAAAGTTCTCTCTGCTTGAAAATGGAGTTTCTTATCAAACCAGGTGAGAGATCCTATCGTAGTGGAAATACCCGTTTCCAAACGTGTAGGAAGATGGTGGTTTTCTGACTTGATTTAGGGATTTTGAACAACAGTACCTCAGATCTTCTGTGTAAACTAGCAGCCAGGCTTCTTTTTGATGTGTGCTTCCTGCATTTTGCTCAGAGCTCCTAAGCTTCTCCTATCATTATTGATACCATTTTATCCTCCATAGCTGGAGCTTCCCATCCTACCTTTCCTGGCTCAATGAAACGGTCAGCTTCAAAATGAAGGAGACAGGGCTTTTCTTTTCCTTTTTTTTTTCTTTTTTTTTTTTTTTTTAAAAACCTGCTCATGGCTGCAGAGCTCGATGCCAGAAGAGATTAGAATAACAAAGCTCACACTCTTCAAATCAAACCATGGAATTCACCTTGACCTAGTTAGTCTTCCTCAATAGCAACTGACTGAACTGAGCAGAAAAAAAATCTAAAGCATCAGAAAGGCTTTTAGGATTCAAAACGTTCAGATACCACAATAAAAAGAATGGTAAAAGTCCTACAGTAATTACTCAGAAATACTTAGTCAATGTGTGAAGAAAATGCCTGTGAAAAGTGTACTTGTACACATAAATGATATTTTTGGTAAGTGGATAATACCATTTACTTTGGGAAACATATATGCAATCAAATGTATGGATAGGCTTTTGGATGAATGTATGAATAAAATGCACATAGTTTACAGTTTGGGACAAGTATGTAATTAAAAAAAATCAAAATAAAAAAGAGGGAATAAATAAGTAATGTACTTTTTGATATATCTTATTTCCACATATCATCAGGCAAAAACTTCAAAGCTTTTAACATCAGATAATCTAGCCAAGAAAAAAAATTGTTATATGAAAGGTTAAAATATGAATGATACGGACTCTTAAAATAGAGTTTGCGGTTTTGAGTCAACAGAGTCAGATAATTTCTTATGTAATAAATCAATCTGCTCATTTTTAATAAAAATACTCATCTGCCATTTTGGACATTTTTATTGGAGAAGACAGTAGGAAGAAGACATAGGACAAAATGAGCAGGCCTACGTTAAAAATAGTTAAGTTTCTACATTAGATTGTTTCTACAATCTAATTATGGACTCATGCACAGCTATAATGGGGAAAAGTAAAGAGCCAAGTTGCTATTTCATAATCATGTTAATGCTAGAAAAGAGTTCTGGCTGCCCCTCCAGCATCACAACACAGGGAAGGAGTGGATGGACACAGAGAAGTAACATAGCTGCTCAAGGGCTCTAGCGTTGGCTTGCTCTGCCCAGGGGCACAAAGAAACTGGTCCTGGTGTGTGACACTCCTGAATCAG